ATCATAAAAATTAAATTTGAAATTAATTTGCCTATTTCAGAGTTAACATAAAAGTTATCAAAAAATGTTTAACCACAAAGTTAACCCATGTAATGGTAAAAATCATTGAGGTGAACGTATGTTAAATGAGGTGAGGTGGTTGTACAACAAATGTAGGCCTAGTTTTTGAAATTTGGGATAGCTTAAACAAATTTGGGAGACCGGAAGATAGCATGAAAATTCGGGAGACTCCCGATCGAATCGGGAGGGTTGGAACCTTTGGGCAGCGCAAAGATATTATTAACCGTCGTAAAATGGTTAATTAACTTAATTAGAAACCATAACTATCGGATAGTAGACCTAAGTGGATTATAGTAAAGTCAAATCATCAAAGAATGTACTATTGTAAATTTCACTGGCCTGGTATATTAGTGATGAATAATTGTACTATAACTTGGTAATCAATTTTAAGGCCGGATGCGAAACCGTATTATATTAGCGCCGGAATTTGTATAGTTCCTATAAATAGTAAGCCTGAAGAGGAGGGCTCATAGATAGGTAGTCCTTAAATGCCAGCACCTCCTTGGCTAGACCAAGCCAACCCCTGGGTAAGCCCGGTATAGATAGGCCTGCTGCATGCCGCATGCGTGCTTTTTTTTTCTAGCAATGTAAACAATTGGAGGGATTTTACTTACACATTTACACAGATTGTTTCCAGAATGGACTGGTGCTATACAGAAGCAGCTGATGTTAGTGAAATATGAACTACAGTACTGAGATGCGGAAACCGACACTCCAACTACCTTCCTTCTCTACCTTCTAGCTAGGCCTAGTTCTCAGCAAATGAGATACCATACCAGTGCGGTAATTTAGTTCGTGCTTTCAATGGATGGGAATTAAAGCACACCAGAGACACTCTCGTCCGCCTCCCTTTTTTGCTTTTTAACACTGGGGGCGCACTACACCAAAAATATGGGTAGCAAAAGTATATAGCCTGGTTGTAAAACTGCTGAAATGAATTTTAGCGGGAAAAAAGTAAAGGAAAATTAATTTTTGGTTTTTCTGAATCAACATACCCTATAGTGTCTCAGAAAAAAATCCCCATGCCTAGGGCTTGGGCAATTTTTTTTACAGCACTTTGAAATTTTGGCCTAAAATAACCTATTTTAAACTATTTAAAATTGGGGTAGGGGAAATAACTTTATGTTTTTGGTCACTTTTACATATACTGTGGATATGAAATGTATCAAAAACTTGGTTATATAGTTACTCATCACTCTCATTAAAAAATTTGATCGGAATGATGACGTCATCCTGATAAATTCCAAGATGGCGTCCATTATTGTGGGAAAAACTATGTTTTTAATGTAAAAATAATTTTATCGTTATCAAAGTACAATACAATCTCAATACAATATTATAC